CTAATCACCGATGAGTGACACACAAATATTACAGCACATATTCATGTGTTTGTACATTAAAGGCAATTAAAACCGTTTCAATAACAATATGGACCCCTAACCACAGAGCCTTTATTTATTTAAGAAAGTAGTCAAACCAGCGGGTAGCTCTGCATGTTTTGTGCTGGATGCACTTCCTGGTACAATCCTTCGTTTACAGTAAACACCACTATACTAAAGGTTACTAAAAAAGGAATGCCAAAGATTGAAGTTTGGGAGAAAATATCTCAGTTTTAATTTTTAGATGCTAATATTACCAAATAATTTTTTTTAAATATTTATATATATTAAAAAAAAAGCAACAACAACAAAGTGAATCTGGGTCCTTTGACGCCTCTGATAGTCAGTGGTAACTTAAATAGTGTGCCAATCTTTTACTCTTACTATCTAGTGAATGTCCATAGTAACACATGTAATATTCACAGTTTCACTTATGTTAATATGAGTGATCTGAAGTGACAGCTTGGTAAAATGAAGCTGAACAAGTACGTTTTCGTCGTCCTGCATCATCAAACAAACCCATTTTAAAATCAGAAGAACAAACAGTTTAATGTAGAAAAATCTAAAGTATAAATGTCCTTGCTATTCCTAAAATGATGCATATTTCATAGGACTTCTTATAAAACATATATTTGAAATTGATTCGTTTCACAAAGAGTTTTGTTTTGTTTTTTATAAATACAAAAAACACTGAAAAAAAAAAACAAATCAGGCACTTTGATCTCAATATTCATCTGAGAGGATTTTTGGTGACTTTAAAACTTGCAGTTGTCATCAAAGGCTACAGTGACACCTGAACGAGGCTCCCTTTACATGAATTTAAAAACACTATGACAATACCATCCAAGACAACAGAGTTCAGTGCGGGAATGAAATCATTTCCACGTCCTTTGTAGATCACAAGGAAAAGCCGCATCAGTCCTCTCGGCATCTAAAGCTCAGTTGCGGGACCCCATTCCATATCGTCCGCATCGTCAAATTCATCCTCAGAGCTGTCGCTGCCCTGGATCTGTGTGCGTCTGAACTGGACTGCTTGGTGGTGATGTGCGAGCCTGTACGGGAGAAGAACAGATGGGTCAAAAATCAGCGCACAGCCTCAGTCTGGCGTTACTCCACGAACCCCATAAACCCGCAGACGGCTCAAGAAGACTTACACGATGAATTGCGGGGCTTTCTTTTCCTCATCTCTGGGCTCTTCCTCTCTCGAGCGAGCCTGTAACAGAGGATATAAAACAGTGACTTCTCACAATTATTTAGTCTTAAGAGACTATTTTAAGAGATGGATTTTAAAATCCACATAAGCCTTTCCGAACCAGTTAATACACTGAAGATTTGTCCTAGTCTCTATT